CTTCTTAGGTCTTTGGTTACTCCTGTCTCCAGGGTGGTGGGGGCCAGAGGCTGGGGGCCAGAGGGTGGGGCTCCATCTGTGGATGGGTTTCTGAGCAGAACCACCAGTCACTTCCATCTGTCATGCTGTGTTCTGTCCCCTTGGGCTCAGGCATTGACTAGCGGATTAGATCTTTGCCACTGTGAGTCCCCTTGAGTGAGACCAGAACCGGCCACATGTTGTAATGGCCACATAAAATGGAACCTTCTAGAGAGCCATCATCCTAACCCGAGTAACACAGAATGCTGTGAAATGTTCTTAAGTCGTACCAGTGAAAATCCCTGAAAGTCACGCTTTGTGTAAACTCCTGAGCCCTCCTGTGGTTGACTTGCTGCCCCTGTGGTAGCAGCTGAAGGGAAAAGGCTGGAGCGTGGGGGCCACGCACCTTGCTGCATGTGGTGGGGGTGGGGGCCTTAACACTGGGCTGCACCCTGGCTGTGTGTGTGTACACTGCACCGCGCGGTTATCTGAGAAACAATTAGGGAGCACCCTGGGGCCGTGTCTTCTGGCGAGGGGCTGGCTTTGAAGGCCCAGAGGACTCCTCCTCATCTCTCCTATGTCCTCATTTGTCCCAACAGGATCCCTTCCAAGCCCATCACTGGGCACTATTCCATGGGAGGCAGTGAATTTCAGGCTGCTTTTCTCTCTCTTTTTCTTTTTTCCCCTTTCTTTCCCCAAACCCCTGAAAGAAGCATAGAGACCATCTTGTTAAGTGAGGGGGATGCTATGTAACGCTCCACAATCAAACTACCTGTCATAGCATTTGGCTTTCTAGCTCCAGAATGGTAAATTTGCTGTGACACGTGAGGTAGGGCTTTATTTTGAGCTGTGTGCCATCAAACACGACCTGAGACACAAAGTGAAGAGATAGCGGTTGCATACGGCAGAGCTGTCATATTTCAGCTATTTGTCAGAGTGGTCGTCAGGCTTGTATATTTGAAATTATTTCACTTTAAACACCATAGGTTAAAATTTCTCTCTTGCTTGATATTTTGATATGTCCTCGAGTGATGCTTTTTTTTTTTTTTTAAATCTAGTTCTGAAATAATTCTTCAATGTTATTTTAATCATAGCAAAAAGGCCTTAGTGTAGAGAATTCATATGTTCTTAGTCACTGTTGGTGGGTTCAGAGCAAAATGCAATCTTCAAAGTCCGACTGTAAAGTAAGATGGAATGTAGCCTACACCTTATATAGCTGTATGCGTGTGTTTTCGAAAATGTTACTCAGTTTTGGACGGCAAGAACTAATATCATAATGGCTATGGAGTGGAGATTTTATCCCAGCAAGCCATAATTTATGCCTAAAGCAATAATTCAGCTTAATTAGTACAATTAATTTATAAATGTTCATTTGTTACACTAAAATAGAAAATATATGTTGTATAAAAACAAAGATGTGTATTCCATCTACTAAATGAGACATTTTTATAACTGATCAAAGTAATTGCACAAAATGCGCAGCGACCATCTCAGACATATGAAAAAATCCCATCACAAAATTAGAAAAAAAGGCAAAGTACACGGCTTGATGCCTCAGAGCTACGCTCCGACCTAAAGTTGTTTTCCCGAAAATTAGCCGATTGACTAATGGTGTAAATGCTGTTAATTAGCAGTGCAGAAGCCCAAACAGGCTTTTTTGCCTGTAACTAATAAGAAATCAATTAGCTAATGAATTGGTCATTACGTGAAAAGCTAATCTTAGCCGGGCTATTTTTTTAATGATTTTGCCTATGATCCTGCCTAATTGCTGTTGTCATACAGCGCTCTCAGCTTTCAGCATGCCTAATGAAGCTTCATTAGATCATAACTGGCACTCTTGGAAGATTTAGAGGCAAACCTGCTTCCCAATTATTTTTAATTGCCAGACATTCGCACAAACAAGTGCTGCACCTTGCTGAACAGGGGATCCGCCTGGCAGCGCCCGCGTCTCATTCATTACCTCATTTGAAGCGATTAGAGCATAGCACAGGGTGCTTGTTCTGTTGCCTCTGTTTTTTTCCTTCTTTCGTTCTTTTTCTCGTAATGTGAAGAGCCCATCATTTGAAATCAACCTGTGGGTTATTGTACTCGCTGTCTCTTTGATTTGTGCCGGGGAGAGAGGCGCGTCTCTCAGCACGCGCGCGGCCGCCCCAGCCCATGTCACACACGCTGTCTGTGTACCTACCTGGGCATGTGTCAGCTGACGAAAACAAAAGAGAAATTACTTCCCTCCCATCCATGAATAATTAAGAACAGACAAAAGACTTTTATTTTATTCTTTTTTTTTGTCTAGTAAACCAGCCTCTTGTTTTCCAGGTTCTTCACTAATGTGATGAAGGAATGCTTCACTGCCAGAGCTTAAGGAGCTACATTCCCCACCATGTTTTCAGTTAAACTCTGTATAATATCTACAAGGGCCCAGTGTTAAATGTATTCTGAAGAAAATCGGGTATAAATACCAATCTCTCTCATATATTTCATGCACCTTTCTGATCCTGAATGTTTACAGTATTTTGTTTATCTTTGATCACCTAAATACCAATTTGATATTACATTGCTACGGACCATGAATTCTTCTGCTTACTCTGCTTTATGCCAGCTTCTCATTAAAACCTCATAGTAGCTCTTTAGTGGATTTTTTTGGCCTGTGGCCTCAAACAGATCGCAGTCCTGCCTGCGATCATTTTTGCGTGTGATGCTTCTTAGAATGAATCATGAACAGGGCGCAATTTTATCTCGGTTTACTGTGAACAGGCCAAACGATGTCAGTTTTGTTCTGTTCAGCGGCCGCTTCTCCCAACATTCTGGACACTTTGGCCAACTACTTCCTATTGACAAATGTGTCAGGCGAGTACATATTCTTCCCATCCCAGTAGTCCTTCTAATATGCTTGCGAGGTCTTGCCAAAATGCCTCGCCTTTGAGGCAGTTAATCCCGGAAATAACAGTGAAAGTGTGCTGCGGCCAGAGATGTAATTCATGGCAAAGCCAATCACTCTGCAGAACTGTGCTGGGCGACTGCAAGCGAAGGGCTGGACCCACTTCATGGAGTTGCTTGTTTTTGATGATGGATGAATGGCACACCAGATGTCTATCAATATTTAGTAGTAAACATCTCAAATGTGCATCAGAATGTGTCAGTTGGGAGAGTGCAGTTTGACATTGGCACACCTGTGTTGAAAAAAGACATACTTGTTTTCTAGTGCACTTGGCACTCTTTTAACTTTAGGGTTTACCTCTTACAGCAATTATGCCTCTGCTTCAGTGGGGTATGTGAGCAATACAAGTACAGTTGCCCTATTTAAAACAGACAATGCTTTTGAAATGGAATTCTTGGTCACACAACATTTCCATCAATGATTTAAATCTACTGTTCCACAAAAATACACTAAATGGTACATTACACACATCATTATGAAAATAATACTGATGTAAATATTTTTACAAATATTTTGTGTATATAGACACTTTTATTGTATGTTGTTTATATAAATCCATATGTTTTGTTTGCACCTTTTACATTCTATTTAAATCTTGGTTTTAAATTCTTGATTTACTCAATCTAGGTAACTATCTATGTAGCTTTATTGTAAACAAATTATATTTCTGGTCTAAATTAGCCAACGGAAACAACATCCAGAAAAAGGTCATAGATTAAAAATCTGTTTTATATTGTGTTTTTCTGTTTCTCAAATTCAATAAAGGAGACAAAATCCAATTACTCCATGCATAATTTAACCTTATGATGCGTAGACGAGCATATGCTCATTCATGCAATTGAATCATTTGAAATGTACACAGTGGGGCTCTCGGTCTGCCAAGACTGCAGCGGCGGAAGCTGTGTGTGTCTCGCAGCCGTGCGCTGACCACGAATGTTGCAGCACGCTTTCTGCGCGGTGCATGCTGACATTTGATGTCAGTAATGTGGTTTGTTTTTTATTGAATATGCAAAAAAATCCATTTGAATTAAGTATGTTCTTCCACCTTTTGTTTATATTCCGTTTGAAGTAGAGAGGTTTGTTTTCGGCTAAGAATGCGTATGATTAGAATTCATATTATTATATTCTCTCCACATCTGCCCTGACACTGTAATTAAGCTGAATTTATGTGGCCCAAGAAAAATGTAGCCAAAAAAGCATCTCATAAAAATAATTATTAGCAATTTATTAAGCCCATGTAGAATGAGGATCCAAAGAAGGATCCCCCTTTACAAAGTGCACTTGATCTTAACCAGACGCAGCATATCCTGGTAACTGTGCTCGTAGATCTTGACAGAACTTAAAACCATAAGGCTGTTTAGTTTCATGTCCCACTTGACATGGAATTGGGCTCAACGAGTGTTACTTCATTAGTGTCTTGGCCTTTGCTCATTTTGAGAGTTCAAGAAACATCACTTGAGCCCTGAGTCCTCTCTCCTGCTTCATGTGTGGACATCTGCTCACAGGGAAGGGCGACATGTTGCCAGGGACGTACTCTATCTCCTCGCTGATATTATGTAAATTGAATTTGTTAATTCAGAGCCCCTGTTTCACAAAATCTGCCACCAACACCTGCCACTGTTTCAAGTGCAGGGACAAAGATGCAGTCTGACACCGTCTTCATTAAATAAACAAACGAGGTTCCCCACGACAGCCTTTGGTGGAAGGCACCATCCATTCTTGTACATTTAGATCAGTAAAATTGAAAATGACAGGGAGAAGTTTTATTTGTCTGTCTCCAGACACACAGGGTGAAGATGTGGTGTTTTTTCTGGTCTTCAGTTCCACAGCCAAGGACGGTTACTAATGTATTTTTTAGCTATAGTTCTGCAATCAAAGATGCCCTTGTGGCCTTCTGATACATCATCTAAATTTTATAAAGATTCTAACAAGGAAGTCTACTAGAATACCACTGAAAAGCAGAATATCTATTTGCTTTTAACTTTGACATCTTTTCTTTTTGTCTGTCTGTCTCTTTTCTCTTTCGGTTATTATCTCCTCTCAGGATCAAGACTGCGTATGGCACAGCATCATACAATGGGCAGATATTGCAGGCACATCGAAAAAAAGCCTTAACTCTGAAGTGTGCAAAATAAAGTCAAGACATTATGAGAGAGACTTTTCTGATGCACTCCAAACACGCACGTCAAGTATGTGTAATGCATCCGTGCTGAATGCTAACATAAAATTTTGAAATAGACAAGGGAAATCTAAAAAGCTGGTGAGCTTCTCGTTAATGTGAGGAAAGCTTTGCACTTGAAGTTGTTGCATGGCTTGTGGAATTTGGGGTTATGGTCTACATATTGGCACAGTCCTCTTTTTTTTTTTTTTTGCTGCGAGTCTATGCCAAACCATTACTAATGTTTTTACCAAAAGGAATGAACAAACCGTTTAAACACACAAGGACATTAACACTCTGTTAACAAGGGCTAATGACGGGTCCTACATCCAAGACCCAACCTGAACAATTCAGGCCCTGACTACGGCATGGTGGAGACTCTCCTTTGAGGTGCAGTAGGCAGGAGATCGTAGTTCTGGTTCCCATAATGAGGGGGTGCAGTATTCAGCCTGCGGAGACCAGACAGCATCTGTCCAGCTAATAAGGAAATGGCTCCTTTTTCTGTATTTTTTCCTATTTTATAGGTATGGAATCAGAAATGCACAAAGATTATATATTTATGAACATATTTGTGTGTGTACTATATATCGTACTTAAAACTTCAAGCTAATAGAAAAGCAGAGTAAAATATGATGAAAAAGTAAAAGTGATTTTTGTAGTAAAACAGCAGTTACTTCTGGCAGAACCACATTCATCATCATTCTTATTCGGAAATATTTATTATTTGTGATGTCTCTACTTCCGTGGACATAATTTTGATGATTTAGCTTTTGGTTGTTCTTTTTTCAAGCACCACAAATGCCTCAGCACAAATCAGTGAAGCACTTTAAGAAATAAGGACAGCACCTGCATATATTCCCAGATTGTATAAATAATGACCTACTCTAATGGCTGAGCTAGGAATTCCTGCTGCTTTTAGCCAGTCCAGATCTCTCAGCAGTTTCGATCCTTTTCTCCTACCTGCACCAAACCGCTGGATTTGGTGAGTGTATTTAAATTTTCATGTTTGCTAAATACAAGTGAAAAAACTCAAAGCATTCTTTGACACACCTCACAAAGAGGAGATGATTTTAGGGCTGTTTGTTGGGTTTATAGCTCAGGAATGACTGTGGTTCCCCTAACCCCCATTTCACTATAGAATCCCCACACCCTTCTTCAGTCATTTCCATAACTGCTCCTGGCTGTCTGGCTACTGCTATTTTAAATGCACTTGAGCTAAATGCCCTGTCACATAATTTGAGTTTTTCTCCAAATTGTCCTACGTTTACCTAAAGGCCATGTTTGAAAACAAATGCCCATTACGATGGAGTCCACCTCAGCGTGCAGAACTTTATGTCCTGGGCTGAGGTCATTGACAGCTTGATGTGAGAGAGGTCAATTGAAATAACAGGTCTGGGCATTAGTATAAATGCATTGCTGTATTTCACTTTGGAAGGGGAAGCCAGGAACACTGAGTCTGGTGCGAGGCAAAGGCCGACACTGCCTGCGTTCAGTAATGAGAACGGCGGGCTGCACGCTGCTAAAATCTGTAATTATAATTACGACTTCTCGCCTTATTCCCTCTACTGAATATTGTATATTGTCATTCAGGTGGTTAGTTACTAAGGTCTTTATGGTGAATATTTTACTTAAAATTCCCAGTATAGGAAAGTTAATGATTAGTAACACCCTGTCAGTGGTTGCGCAGTAACCGGGATGAGTAGAGTGCTCTCAGCCAAAGATTTAAGTTAGAAGTATTTGTTAATGTATGTCTTAGTTGTGCTATATGATGGCACTGTATGAATTTATAAAGAAAGATGAATTGAAATTTCTGTGTTATATTATAATCTATCGTTTCCCCTTGAGCAGATCCTTATACTTTCAGGGGACCATTGCTGCTTTTTTCAAGCCAGAGTTTGATCACAGAGCAGCGTGAGTCTGAAATGTGTGATGAGTGACAGAGAACATCTGGAAAATCCAGAAGTGACCATGTTGCAGACTTTCATGCAAGCCTTTGATAAACAGAGTTTTTTGTTCTCTTAGAAAACAGGGATTAGGTGAATCACATCAGATGAATTCTACATAGAGGGTTTTGATTTATTTCCCTGCAGTCTTTCAAACCTTTTCTCGCCCACCAATAGGTGATGCTGAGGGCCACTGACAGTCATTAGTTCTCCCTTGTGTTTGTTCATACACACCTAATATAATCTGTGGCGCATTGAGGTTGAGCTCAGTTTTAATTTTTTATGTCTCTAAAAAAGAACATGCCATAGGTTTATGAAGGGGAATTGGACATTATACCCACATCACATTCCAGTGATACTTGCGTGTTATCCAAGCAAACGTCAGATACTTCTTTGATTCGCAATGTTCTATCACTCTGGTGTAATCATATCTGTTTTGGCATTATTTTTTGATAACTGCTGTATGAAGTTTGTATGTTTATTACAACCATACATCTATATGTAATAATAATTTGCTATTTAAAATAAAGGAAAATTGCTTGAAAGGCAAATTAAGGAATAATAGCTACTATTGTAATACTTTTCGAATTTAAATATCACCGGAAGGTCTTGGTTTTTTAAACACAGGTAGAGGGTTTGATTTGTTACTTGAATATATTGGCAAATCTGCCCATCCCTGTAGCCCTAACAGCTCGACCCAGACGCCTGGCGACTGTTTCCGCTGCTAGCCCCACGCCTCGGAAATATAAGCACATACGGTTAAATATTCTCTAGCGTAATCTCACGTGTCACTCAGCCTACACCTTCACAAAGGTTATGCGTATTAACGCCAGTCAGGGGAGTCCCCAAAGCAGGCTTCCCCATAGCCACTTGCCTTTAAAAGTTCCATCCGAGTGAAGTGTCAGAGCCAGTATGAAGATACAAACGGGATCGCAAACCGCATCAATCCGCTGCTGACTCCCGCCACTTTGATCTGATTCTATTCCACGCTTTATGATGCATGAAGCTGTCAGATTAAGGGCTGTTCAAAAACCCGCTATAGCTGTAGAGCCTGACAGCGCGTGTGATGGATTACAGACAAAACAAAAGGGTTTATCACCTTCACTGCAAACGATTCCATCGTTTTATATAGGTATGGGAGGAGAACAGCCACCGCTCAACGGTCGAGAGTGGTGCAAAGGAAACCTGCGACATTGAGGAGCTCCCCCCTCTGACAGTGGCGGACGTGAATTGCAAAGCCCCAGAGTCGTCTGCCGTTTGTCCAGGGACAGGCTCAGTTGACTTTGTACCTGCTGTGTATGGAAAGACACTGAAATATTGTGCCTTAGACACTGTAATAAGGAAGGAAATGCTTTTTTCCCCCAGCATTTTGTCGCTAAGCTTTAAATGCTGGCATTATTGATGTCCTGATTTATATCTTTCATGCTGAGCACATTGTGGTGATCTGAAGCAAATACCAAAATACCAAATACGCTATCGCCGTACACAGCGGTTCCTCCCGTCGAACTGGGACGTGTCCACTAACAGGATGTTGCATAATGCCATATGTGTGACTTCAAGGGAAGACTATTTTCAGATTTTGAAATGTTCTTCTGCTAACAGAAGTACCAGAGAAAGCTGCTCAGAGAAGCATTATAACCATAATAATTCAAATGATACAGCGTGTTATGTGGTCTGACTCTCATCCAAGGAATAGCAGATTATAAAATGTTTTATTAGTTCATGTGAATAGCTTTCTTCTTCACTCCTCAGCTGGGCGAGACATCTGTTATTTAAATAAAGGTTTTTAAAAGCAATGAGCAGGGAGGAATTGTTATTCCACATTGTTCAGCTGCTGACAGAAATTGTGCAGAGTTTAGAAATCGCTGCACTGAATTCAAATGACGGGGGAGATAATGAGATCGTTTGATGTGACGTGTTATGAGGGAGCGATCTCACAAAGGCAGTCTGCTGCACTAAGCAGCCACGTTACAGGTCAGATTACGACACACGGCGGCGCCGGCTCTCTCTGCTGCTGCTCTGCCAGCCTCTGTCAGCGCTAATGCCGTAAACATCACTTCCTGCTATGGGGGGAATTATAACAAAGAAGCTGTGAACGCTCCACACTGTGTTTGTTTATCACAGCAATATATTTAGTGAGCTGGAAATTAGCAAACAAGACACTGGAGACATCAGTTAGTGAATGTCTGTGTGTGCGCGTGTGTGTGCGCGTGTGTGAGTTTCTGTCGTCATTCACGGCCATTCACACTGCAGACCCTGTAGTGAGACCAGCAGAGGAGCACATGGGGTTGTGGACCATTGCAGCTGATGGAGAGATCACGACACACCAGCATAATGGCACAAAAAACAGCATTGCAAAAACTGAGCTGGGCTCCTTGTCCCGCCCATTCACAGTGGGACAAAGGGCAGCGGCTTGGGTGAGGAGCAAGACCGTGGGAGGTGTTAGGGAGGAGGAACATTTTAATTTGGAAAAACAACAGGAAGAGACGGGGTCACTGTATTAATGTAAAGAGAGCCTCTCTTGATAGGGACTGACTACTGTTCTGGGCTTGGCTAAGCTATGGCTAACCCCCCAAAAAGCCCCCCCCCCCCGCCCCTCTCACTTTCCTGGCTTTTGGCTCCTGCTGATTAGCAGTGACAGGCCTCGGCATCCCTCCTGGGAACCAGAGGACGTCTCATGACTGGATTTAGATAGAATGATCTAATGGGGTCACACTTTAAGTCAAGAGTCTATTAATAAGAATCAATAAATACGCCATAAGAGATGCGGAAGATGACAGCAGACGCCGGAGCATTGCAGTGCAAAGGGGGGTGGCAGTGAGACAAAGTGTCCCACATCACAGGTCCGTCACATGTGTCCCCAGCCCCATATTACAGGCCTGCCCCTCCTACCTGGCTGTTTTCGCCATGGCCTGTTGAAGCATTTGTGAAGTGAAGCACACTGCAGGATGGCCTGTTGTAGCATTGAGAAGTGAAGCACACTGCAGGACATTGTCCTGTCTCTGCCACGCATTAATGAACTCTAATTCCCACTGAGTTCTGCTTAAATTTTATGCACATTTTTCTCGACTGAAATTGGGACTTTTGGTTCTATTTTTTTTAAAAGTGCCTAATTGTTATCGTTTTACTTTGCTACTTAAAAATATTTTAGCATGCATTACTCCAGAAATACGTTTTTAGAAACCGTTTCTTTGCATATGTACTAGATTCCAATGCTGAACTGTCCAGTTCTAACAAAGTAAATCTCTTTTCTTTTGACACTAAAGGACATTTATGCTGTTGTGTTAGATCATACCTCCAGTGTCGGCCGGACAGGTGAACCTTGCTCTTTGGGCCTGTAGCTTTGTGCCCAGACCTAGGCTTTGATGAGGCCTGTGTGGCTAGCAGAATGTTCCCCGTCACAGAGCTCTCAGGGGGTGGATGCGGGTCGCAGGGAGACGGCTACCTCCCGTTTGACGGCATTGGGTGCTCGCTAATTTGAGGTTGCCGTGGGACAGTGAAATAAACCCAGGCCAGCCGATCTGTGTTTGCCTCGCGCCCTGGGGAGCTGGGGTAATTGAGTATGCTCACTGTGCCAGTGTAAAACCTCTTTTACAGGGTGATAAAAATAAGCAAAGACCAGCTGTGGGTTCAGTG